TAATCAAGAAAGGACTTGTATCGCTGAAGATCCTCGGAAAGAATGTCTACCGGAAACAAACAAACAAGCAGATACGTAACAATAGTCTTTTTACTCCCAAAGAATAGTCAACTATTTGAAAGTACTGGAGTTTCTGGGTCTACTGATGTCTGAGCAATACATACGTATTGATTGGTAACATATACAATCCACGAATAACAAAGACATGAACAACTTAGTAATTCTCTTCAACAGTGTTCTATATTAAGAATAAATCCTGAGACTCTGAAAGCTGGAAAATTTTCTAGCAACTAAGAGGGTCGAAAATGCATGATATGCCTACATATCACGTGGTATTATAAACCTATATCCCAAAGCAATACGAACTCCTAAGTTTGAAAAAATCATATCTTATAACAATATTGATAATAGGAATTACCTTGAAATTCCAAGTTATAAGATATTGAATAGTAAGATAATTTGTAAACGAGGGGTGGAATTAATTGCATATTTTGGCGAATGAAAGCACAAAATTCGTAGCCAAAAAGTTTTATATGGAATGCAATTAGAGGTTTTAAAGGTAAAAAAAATAAATAATAACTGACAATTATTATAGGTCATCTGAACAGACAGATTATGTCAATGATAAATTGTATAATAATATCGGGGTTGCTACTAATAAAGATACAGATGCAATCCCTATGTAAGACTTTAATTTTAGACTGATTGATTGAGATTATATGTGGTCAAATGATGAGGGTTATAGTTTTTCTATACTAAATGGTCATAGAATCAATCAAAGGGATGCAATTTTAGGTTTTTTGTTAACCATTAATCAGGATGTAATTACAAGATTTGAAGAAACAGAATATTTGGGGATGAGGGTTCATTACATGATAAAATTTGATATTTTGTTGCATGTTTATATAACAGAAAATACATTTGTTTGTACTTAAGCACAAAGCTACGCAATGGGCTATCTGTACTCTCTCCACAATAGGTATCTAAACCTGGTTTCAAGCGTTATTTGTCCGCAGACATATTTTTGTGCCACTGGGGGCATAGCAAATATAATTTTGGTTCCAACTTTTCAGAAAGCCCATTTTGAAGCTGTGAGACAAGAGTTATCATCAGTGAATTCGGATATTGAGTTAAAAGGTGATGTTGGACAGAGTTGGGAAGTTTTAAAAATAAACTGGTTTTACTTCAAGATGGTCCTAAAAAGAAGAAAATTATAACAAGGAAGATTAAATTTAATTGGCTTACTAACTGCATAAAGGAGAAGATCAGAGATATAGGCCATAATTTAAGAGACTTAAACTAACATACAGGATGGAAGATTAATAGAGCTATAGGAAAGCTAGGGATTTGGTTTAAAAGAAATTACGAGAAACAGCTGATTCATAATGTTTAACACTAACAGCAAAGGTATCTTAAACATTTTAAAGGCAAGCAAAATGTTAAAATGAGTATTAGGTCCTTAAAGGATGCTGAGGTCAAGGATTTGTTGAAGATCATGAGATGGTTGAGCATTTAAGTATTTTATCCTTTACTGTTTTACAAGAGAGGATTGAGCAATATTTCCAATTCTGACCACTTTATGGAAAATGTTAAGATTGACCAGAATCATGTTGATGTTAATCCTTGATTATTAAAAAGATTAAAAGTGTAAAAGAATCAGGACTAAACAATGTTTTTCCTGGGGTTTTAAAGGAGGTCAATGATCAGATTCAGATATGTTTGCCTCTCTCATTTTTGGCAGATCAATAGGTAGCGAGCAGTACCTGAGAAGTTGAGAATTATTAATATTATTACTCCTGTTTTTAAAGGGATGATAAAAATTGCCATAGAAATTGCATACCGTTTAGTCTTACTCCTATAGTGAGAAAATTCTAGAGCGTCTGGTGAAAAAAATAATCCGGTGAAATAGTATATCTTAAGAAAAAATGTAAATCGATTCACTAAAAGAAAAATTTCCGTTAAAAACCTGGTAACTATTTTCGAGGATGTTACTTATTATCCGGATAATGAAAAGGGTGTGGACTTGAGGCACGTAGATTAAAAAAAAGATTTTGAAAAGATGCCAAACAAAAGACTAGTCAAGAAAATTACATATACGGGGATTGGGGAAATATTAATAGAATGGACTGTAAGATGTTTGGATGCAAAATGTTACTATTTATTGAATCCATCCAAACTGGACAGTTTTTAGTAATCTTTTCTCAAGTGATTGCTAAATGAAATAATTTATTATGTTTATAGAAGATAACTTGGAATTAACCAAATTAATAAGAAATAAATGGGTTTGAACATTAAAATCCTTCCAATAACTGATATTTTTTTTCTCTCTAGCCAGTCTTTTAATGCTTGACATAACTTATTATTCACTTAAATACTTCATAAGATTTATATATAATATTTTATGTAAACCTAAGATAGTAGGGGAATGATGGCCAAATAGATATTATCTAAATTACTTTATTCTAACTTCTGCTTTGTATGATGTACCTTTTTGAATAGCTTTTTCTACCCTTTCAAAGGGATTTAAATTTCGAAAAGTCCATTATGTAAATGTGATTTTAGGGCTGCAATGCCCAGGAACTACACTTTTTGCTTTAAGCTTGCACTTGATATATTT